AAAAGTACAGAGGTATAGAAACAACTATCAAGCAGTGGTGCGCAACCATACAATGTCAGAATCCATTACGTCCTAGTCATAGGAAAAATTGACTATTTAGGAACAATAATACTCAACAAGATAGGCCTAAAGAAGAGCATTTGTTATCAGTAAGTGATACAAACAAGTAAAAGTGGCCAAATATATAAATGCATAAACATTATGGTACAAAGGTGTCACGATATCCTATTGTAAGCCTGCTCCATATGTGCTATTCCAGATGGGTGATAACGTAGGGTGCTATAAGAGCATGTGCAAATACTAAATAGTGGAATAGTATGCTCACATATCTGACCTAGACTGAAAAGGCCCTGGGGCCTGCACCTAAGCAACCATATAAAAGATAGTAAAGAAGCCAGAAATAAAGATAAGGTAGGGAAAAAATGAAGAGCATAAAAGGAGAGAGGAAGAAAGAAACAGATCTCCTTGACCAAGACACCTGACCAATGGTCACTCTGGGGATTGAAGATATCTGATCCGGGGGTTTCAAACTTTCTTGAAGTTAGATTGTTTGTCCTGGAGGATACTTGCCAGTATTTCATGAAGCATGATCCAGGATATTTTATATTTGACCAGCGCAACATTGACTGAGGATTTCCATGCTCACACCATGGTACTTTTTGCAACTGAAAAGATAAAAAATATGCAAGGGTTTTAAGATGTCTGGGGATCTCTTACGGCAGATCATAAAATAGCGCTGTCTTAACATTTCTCGGTATATTTACCACAGTTACCGATTACAGAAGATTAAATATCCTGATTTGGAATCATTGGCCGTACAAGCAGGACCACCAGACATGGAGCATATTACCCTCCAGCCAACACCCCCGGAAACAAAGGGGTGAGGCATGGGGATAGATTTTGGTTAACCTCACCAGAACAAGATACTAATCAGACAACACTTTATAATTCGCCTCCACCAATGAAGTGTTAAGAATTCCCTTATGCACCACAGTCGACCATCGGGTTCATTCATCCTCCTCAATAACCTCTCCTAAGTCCGACTCCCAGGCTATTTGATAAGAAAATTTACTGCCTGGGTCAGAAAACAAGGAATATAGCTCCAAGATACCCCCACATGTCCCAGGACCCCAGACGTTTATTTTCATATAAGGTCCTGGTGGGTAATCTGACAAGGGTGGAAGGCCTCTGAGGGGGCATCTGCTGGGTCTCCAGAACATAGGAGGATGGTCTGATTCCCCTGTGGTCTATAGAGTGTGATATCCTATAGAGGCCCTTGATAACCCAACAGGCAAATTGATGAGTTTGTCCTGGAGGGAAATATGGGTTGTCAAAGAGAGGGGTCACTGGAGTATGAGTAGACTTCTGAGGGTACAATTTGCAGACTGTATCCCAGAGGTGAAGGAAATATGAATATGTGTAGGGCTTAAAAAGGCTGTTCTCTCCCTAGTAGAGAGCCATAAAAGGAGGTCTATGGGGAGTGGGGCACTTGCTTGTGCCTCTAGCTTGACCCAGTCAGGTTTAAATGTCATGGAATATATTTGGTAAATCTGGATCAATTTGGCAGCTCTGTAGTATCGTAGAAAATTTAGAACTCCCAGACCTCCCCACCATTTACAAATGTACAAAGTAGAACTGGCAACTTCCTGAGCTTCATATAATTATAAATGTTAATGACTGAAATTTCTTCAGATACATAGAAGGCACTGGGATCAGTAGGGAACGGAAATAATACAAAATTCTGGAGAGAACTGTCATCTTAATTGACGCTATTGTACACACCCAGGAGAGAGTATAGTTGTGCCACTTTTTCAGTTCAGATTCAATTGAAGAGAAAAGAGGAATGTAATTAGCTTGAAATAGTGATTAGAAAATGGGGGTAAGCTTTACTCCAGGATAGGGGATGAACGTTGCTTATGAGAGATATCAGACGGAAGTTAGCCACGTTGCTATGATCCTTATCTGATTTAGGTGTTCAAACAAGTATTTGGATTGTCTGCATTGATTTCTATTTCTGTGTTATTTTGTTGCTTGTCTTCATGTGACACTGATGTGGAATTTCCCTCAGTTTGAAGCATTTGTGTTAGTTCATGAAATTTTGAACACAGTAAAGTTTCATCGCTAATTACACTTCTACTGATGGTTACCTTGTTAGTGTCATGGTGTAGACTTCTGTATCCCTTTTGAGATTCACTGTACCCCACAAGTACACCTTCCTTTGCGCAAGCATATTATTTTGTATGTTTTTATCTTGGGCTTTGCTTCCAAACATTTTTACTGTAGATGGTTCACATTTGAGGCTTTTCCATTTCACAGTTCATATGGAGTTTTCTTGATATTTTTCCTGGTAGTTGATTTTGGAGATAGCATGCAGTCATAATTACCCCCCCCCCCCCCCCCCTTATGTGGTTGGCATATCTGCATCAAACAGCATGGTTCCTCCACTCTCACATAGAGTAGGCTCATTCTTTCTGCAACCCCACTTTGTTCTGGGTTGTATGGCACAGTAGTTTGCAATGTTATGCCATGCTTTCTGAGAATCACTTGTGTGTTCCATTGTTTGTGGGCAATACACTCAGCATTTTGCCAAATTGCTTACTTGAGCCAAATACTGTTCAAGTTTCTCTGGTACTTCACTATTGTTGTGTAACAGATACAGTACATTGTAATATACCTGGAGTAATCATCCATAAGAGTGAGAAAATACCTGCTCTTTCCTGGAGTAATTTTTTCCATTGAACTGCAAAGATCTGAATGAATTAAGTCAAGCGGTTTCTAACAGCTTTGCTGTTACTCTCCTTTGGAAAGGCTTTTCTTGTCATTTTTCTTTTTATACAGCTGGTGCATTTCATTGCATTTCACTAATTTGTAATCCACTTGCATAGTCATTCTCAGTTAATTTCTTTATTATGTCAGGACTTCTGCGGCCAAATACTCTGAGCATGTGTGAATGCAGTTTGACTGTTTTTTCTCCTTGGCAGTATTAACCATCTCATTGCAGTTCAGCTGATACAGTTAATCTGTAATTTGAGCCTTTGCAAGTAAGATACCCCCTTTTGTGATGGCACACAAACAAATCTTTTGACGCTGAGCTTCTTCACTGACAAAAGATTTGTTTCAAGAGCAGGGACATACAGGGCATTTGTCACAGGTATCTCTCTGGTTACTCTCTTGGAAATAGGACTGTAAAGAAAACTGTCTCCTATTCCTTTTGGTTCCATTATTTGCCCATTAGCTGTGCTGCTTTGTTTTGTTTTACTCTGGTCAAGGTGAAGAAAGAAATTTTGGTAATTTGTCTTGTGACTCGTAGCTCCTGAATCAACACACCGTGCCTGAAATGTGCAGCTTTTGGATTGAAAAACAAATTAATTATCTTAAGAAAAATCACTTTCTTCCTTCACACTTTTGGCCTTTAGTAGTTTAGTTTGTTTTTTTCATTCTAGCTTTCCAGATTCTGTAATCTGCTTTTAAATGACCTTGTTTCTTGCACACAAAGCATTCACAAAGTGTTTCTTGTTGCATGTTACTGTTTTTATTCCTATTTTCATCTTTAACCACATCCTGACCACCCTATAGCAGATATATTTCTACAGGGCGGCAGGGGTGTGCAAAATCATGTATATATATGTGTTTTTGTATTTCCGAGTAGGGAGCACACCCTATCCACACGCGCGCCCTGCCTGCGCCGCCATTCGCGGCTGTGGCTGTCAATCAACGGGTCCCAGCCGGTGATTCCCCGCCGGCGCCCGGTGATTACCAAGGATCTCCGACAGGAAGGAAGGCTGCTTTGGTTACTAACAGTCCTCCTCCCTGTCGGCTTGGGAACACTGCTCTGGTTGGATGTGCAACGCACAGCCATCCAGAGCAGTGTGCTTACAGTGAAGCACCAACACGCCATCCCCCAGTAAAATACTCCCAGCACAGAGTTAACCCTTTGATCACCCCTCATGTTAACCCTTTCCTGCCCAGTGCCATTAGCACAGTGTCAGTGCTTTTTTTTAGCACTGATCACTGTATTGGTGTCACTTGGGATTTCAGTGACACCAAGTCCGTTCCCTCCAGTGTCAGAATGCCCACCGCAGTCCCGCAGTCCCACTATAAGTCGCTGATCACCGCCATTACTAGTAAAAAAAAACAAATCCAGTATCCATTTGTAAACGCCATAACTTTCAAGTAAACCAATTAATTTACACATATTGGGATTTTTTTTTAGTAAAGACATGTAGCAAAATACATTTTGACCTAAATTTATGATAAAATTAGATTTTTTTAATTTTTTTTACTGGACATGTTTAATAGCAAAAAAGTAAAAAATATTGTTTTTTTCTTCAAATTGTCAGTCTTTTTTTTATTATAGCGCAAAAAATAAAAAACGCACAGGCATTCAAATACCACCAAAAGAAAGCTCAATTCGTGGGAAAAAAACAACGTAAATTTCATTTGGGTGCAGCATTGCATGACCGTGCAATGATCAGTTAAAGTAACGCAGCACCGTAACACAAAAAAATGGCCTGGTGAGGAAGGGGGGTAAATCTTCAGGAGGGCAAGTGAGTTAAAGCAAACTCTGCAACAAAAGCACCATCACTATTAATGCTTTCTGTTTTATATTTATATTCTTGCCCTTTACATATTCCAAAGTCAGTTCATCATCTGGATGTGCCTCAAGTGCTGTGACAAGCATTTCATAGCTTTCTGGTAAACCACTAAGTAATAGTGCTGCAATATGAAAATCTTTTATTTCTTCTCCTATACCTCTGATGCATGCAACAATTTACAAGGTGTGCCTTTTGTAATCCTGCATATCCTGGCCTTTCATCGCTTGATTTGGTATAGCTTTCTAATCAAATACAGTTTATTGCTGAGATTATCTCTTTTTTATGCATCTTTTGCAATCCTTCCCACATTTCTTTAGCAGCTTCACACTTACATATACACTATATTGCCAAAAGTATTGGGACACCCCCCCAAATCATTGGATTCAGGTGTTCCAATCCCCTCCATGGCCAGAGGTGTATATAATCAAGCACCTAGGCATACAGACTGCTTCTACAAACATTTGGGAAAGAATAGGTCACTCTCAGGAGCTCAGTGAATTCAAGCATGGTACCCTGATAGGTTACCACCTGTGCAATAATTCCATCCGTGAAATTTTCTTGCTACTAAATATTCCACGGTCAACTGTTAGTGGTATTATAACAAAGAGGAAACAACTGGCAACAAAAGCAACTCAGCCACGAAGTGGTAGGCCAGGTAACATGACAGAGCGGTGTCAGCACATACTGAAGCGCACAGTGCGCAAAATTCGGCAACTGTCTGAAGAGTCAGTAGCTAAAAACCTCCAAACTTCATGTGGCTTTCAGATTAGGACAACAACAGTGAGTAGAGAGCTTCATGGAATGGGTTTCCATGGCCGAGCAGCTGCGTCCAAGCCATACATCACCAAGTGCAATGCAAAGTGTCGGATGCAGTGGAGTAAAGCACGCCCGCACTGGACTCTAGAGCAGTGGAGACATGTTGTCAGAGCCTGAGCCACCTGGAATGCTGGACAGCTCCCTAGACAATTATTTGGATGATCCTACCTTGACCTTGTTTATCTTGAACCTTGAACCCCTTGCTCCTCCCAGGAACTTCCTGATAAAAGCCATTTCTCTGCATTTCCTGTTTGCCAGATTATTGTGCCTTCTCCAGCCAATATCCCGCTTGTCTCTCCTACTGCCATCTATACCTTCGCTACTGACCTTTGGCTTGTTCCTGGATTACGATTCTTCTGCCTCAACCTCATCTACTACCGTTTGTGACCGACCCTTGGCTTGTTGACTGACTCTGTTTTTGCTTCCATGTGTTTGCTCTCATTAGCAGCATCTTCTATTCAACTTCCAGGGCTGACTGGTAGTCAGTAGCCATCATGTTTTCTTTCAGATCTCCTTAATACTGTACAAATCTCAGGACTGGATGGACAGCAATACAAATTTTTTGGCAGGTATAACAGCCTTATTTATGTACACTATATTGCAAAAGTATTGGGACGTCTGCCTTTACATGCACGTGCACTTTAATGGCATCCCAGTATTAGTCTGTAGGGTTCAATACTGAGTTGGCCCACCCTTTCCAGCTATAACAACTTCAACTCTTCTGGGAAAGCTGTCCACAAGGTTTAGGAGTGTGTCTATGGGAAGGTTTGACCATTCTTCCAGAAGCACATTTGTGAGGTCGGGCACTGATGTCGGACGAGAATGCCTGGCTCACAGTCTCCACTCTAATTCATCCCGAAGGTGTTCAATCGGGTTGAGGTCAGAAACTCTGTGCAGGCCAGTCAAGTTCATCCACCTCAAATTCGCTCATCCATGTCTTTATGGACCTTGCTTTGTGCACTGGTGCGCAGTCATGTTGGAAAAGAAAGGGGCCATCCACAAACTGTTCGCACAAAGTTGGGAGCATGAAATTGTCCAAAATGTCTTGGTATACTGATGCCTTAAGAATTCAAGCATGGTACCCTGATAGGTTACCACCTGTGCAATAATTCCATCCGTGAAATTTTCTTGCTACTAAATATTCCACGGTCAACTGTTAGTGGTATTATAACAAAGAGGAAACAACTGGCAACAAAAGCAACTCAGCCACGAAGTGGTAGGCCAGGTAACATGACAGAGCGGTGTCAGCACATACTGAAGCGCACAGTGCGCAAAATTCGGCAACTGTCTGAAGAGTCAGTAGCTAAAAACCTCCAAACTTCATGTGGCTTTCAGATTAGGACAACAACAGTGAGTAGAGAGCTTCATGGAATGGGTTTCCATGGCCGAGCAGCTGCATCCAAGCCATACATCACCAAGTGCAATGCAAAGCGTCGGATGCAGTGGAGTAAAGCACGCCCGCACTGGACTCTAGAGCAGTGGAGACATGTTGTCAGAGCCTGAGCCACCTGGAATGCTGGACAGCTCCCTAGACAATTATTTGGATGATCCTACCTTGACCTTGTTTATCTTGAACCTTGAACCCCTTGCTCCTCCCAGGAACTTCCTGATAAAAGCCATTTCTCTGCATTTCCTGTTTGCCAGATTATTGTGCCTTCTCCAGCCAATATCCCGCTTGTCTCTCCTACTGCCATCTATACCTTCGCTACTGACCTTTGGCTTGTTCCTGGATTACGATTCTGCCTCAACCTCATCTACTACCGTTTGTGACCGACCCTTGGCTTGTTGACTGACTCTGTTTTTGCTTCCATGTGTTTGCTCTCATTAGCAGCATCTTCTATTCAACTTCCAGGGCTGACTGGTAGTCAGTAGCCATCATGTTTTCTTTCAGATCTCCTTAATACTGTACAAATCTCAGGACTGGATGGACAGCAATACAAATTTTTTGGCAGGTATAACAGCCTTATTTATGTACACTATATTGCAAAAGTATTGGGACATCTGCCTTTACATGCACGTGCACTTTAATGGCATCCCAGTCTTAGTCTGTAGGGTTCAATATTGAGTTGGCCCACCCTTTCCAGCTATAACAACTTCAACTCTTCTGGGAAAGCTGTCCACAAGGTTTAGGAGTGTGTCTATGGGAAGGTTTGACCATTCTTCCAGAAGCACATTTGTGAGGTCGGGCACTGATGTCGGACGAGAATGCCTGGCTCACAGTCTCCACTCTAATTCATCCCGAAGGTGTTCAATCGGGTTGAGGTCAGAAAGCAAGTTGTGTGCAGGCCAGTCAAGTTCATCCACCTCAAATTCGCTCATCCATGTCTTTATGGACCTTGCTTTGTGCACTGGTGCGCAGTCATGTTGGAAAAGAAAGGGGCCATCCACAAACTGTTCGCACAAAGTTGGGAGCATGAAATTGTCCAAAATATCTTGGTATACTGATGCCTTAAGAATTCCCTTCACTGGAACTAAGGGGCCAAGTCCAACCACTGAAAAGCAACCCCACTCCATAATCCCCCCCTCCACCAAACTTTACACTTGGTACAATGCAATCATTCAAGTACCGTTCTCCTAGCAACTGCCAAACCCAGACATGTCCATGTGATTGCCAGAAAAAGAAGCATGATTTGTCACTCCAGATAACACGTCTTCACTGCTCTAGAGTCCAGTGGCGGTGTGCTTTACACCACTGCATTGGATGCTTTGCATTGCACTTGGTGATGTAAGGTTTGGATGCAGCTGCTCGGCCATGGAAACCCATTCCATGAAGCTCTCTATGCACTATTGTGTTAATCGGAAGGCCACACGAAGTTTGGAGGTCTTTAGTTATTGACTCTGCAGACAGTCGCGACTTCTGCGCACTGTGCGCTTTCAGCATGCGCTATCTCCACTCATTTTACGTAGCCCATCACTTCATGGCTGAGTTGCTGTTGTTCCCAGTTGCTTCCACTTTGTTATAATACCTCTAACAGTTGACTGTGGAATATTTAGTAGCAAGGAAATGTCTTTTCGCACACCTTGCAACCTATCACAGTACCATGTTTGAATTCACTGAGCTCCTGAGAGCGACACATTCTTTCCCAAATGTTTGTAGAAGCAGTCTGCATGCCTAGGTGCTTGATTTTATACACCTGTGGCCATAGAGGTGATTGGAGCACCTGAATCCAATGATTTGGAGGGGTGTCCCAATACTTTTGGCAATATAGTACATGGATTACCATTCATCCGTACGTAGGGTGCAATATGATGGGAACTGCAGCAGAGTAGCTTTTTTTATGTATCTTCACCACACCAACGTTCATAAGAATCAATCAACGCTTACACATACTGTAGGTGTGCATTTATTAAGGTACAATCTGGTCTGCCTTTACACATTGGGGTTTATTTACTAAAGCTGGAGAGTCCAAAATCAGACTCCTTTCTGCATAGAAACCAATCAGCTTCCAGGTTTCATTGCCAAAGCTTCATTGAACAAGCTGAGGTTAGAAGCTGATTGGTTTCTATGCAGAAGGGAGTCTGATTTTGGACTCTCCAGCTTTAGGAAATAAACCCCATTGTGTCTATTCATTGCATGTGAAGCTTGCAGAGGAGAGCACATTTATTAACAATTGTATTTTTCTTTTCTGACTGAAAAGAGATGTAGCGCTACCCCCAGAGGTGGCTCTAGGTTTTGTGAGGTCTTAGGCAAAACTTAGACATGAGGCACCACTCATTCCCATAATGGGAAAAGTGTGAGCTTTGTGCCCCTGGTAGTTCCTTCACTGCTAATGCTATAATAATGCTAATGCATTGTTAAAATAACAAATTATTAAAGTAGTTTGCAGCAGTTTTCTGTCACACAGGTGTCCCTTCGCAAATAAGCTATTTTGCAAGGGAATTTTAACATTGCAAGGGAATTTTCCCTTAACTTTGTGAATTTGGTGAAAATCACGTGCAAGGAAAATAAAAATAGCAGCATTTTTGCTTGCACATGATTGGATGATGGAAGTCAGCAGAGCTTCGCCTCATTCACTAAGCTAAAGTAAAATGAACTTGCAATGTTAGCAGCCTATTTGCTTTACTAAACCAATCCTATGGAGTATTTTGTACAATAATATCTTGCCTGCCAGCAATGTTTCATTTGAAAGCTATAGTTCCCCTTTAAATAGTTTTCTTTGCTGAATTGCAGGATAGTGTACGGTTGGTTGCCATGGGTTATTGTATTTAGGAATTAGCACAATATATTATAAGGTCATGTAAGTCAATTATATTTTTAATTTAAATATTAAAAAAAACGGACATTCTGGATGATAAGTTACACATCCTTTTGCAAAGTCTGACCCGTACTATCTCGGCGGCTGTGGGGAAAATAGCCCAGGAGCTTAGAGGGGAGATAGCATGGGTGGAAGAATGTACAGACCACCTAGAAACCAAATTTGATGATCTGGTGCAGTATGTACATGTATTAGAGGAAGATAGACACATTTTAAAACAACAGATGTCCCAGTTGCAATCCCTACAGGAAGATTTGGAGAATAGGGAACGGAGACAGAATCCCCAAATTCGTGGTGTCCCAGAGTCTGTAGGGGAAGCCGACCTACAAGATTATCTGCAAGGTCTGTTCACTGCATTGGCCCCGGTGGTTCTGGATATAGATTGGCAAATGGAAAGAGCCCAAAGCTCTCTTGCTGAAGCCACCACTGGGCACAAGACCAAGAGATATTGTCCGGTTTCATTGCTACGATAGCAACGAGTCTTTGCTGAATTCCACACGTAACACTGCCTCAGTTGATTTTAGAGAGGAAAAAATTAAAATCTAAAGTGATTTGTCCCCTATCACATTGTCTAAAAGAGGTACACATCATCCACTTACTCTCCACCTACAGAAGCATCGTATTTTATATACAGATGGGGCTTTCCGTTCAGATTAACAGTAACCAAGGATGGTACTCAACACGCAATAAGAGATCTTCAAGAAGGAGAGGCGTTCTTGCATAATCTAGGTCTACCTCCTCTCCCGGATGAAGCCTTAGCACTACCTCTACCCAAACCAAGAGCAGCCAATACTCCTAAGAAGATATGGACACCGGCAAGATCCAAAAACAAGACATGCCTACCGATTCCTCAAAGGTCTCCTGCATCCCGGTTATCTTCTGTCACCTGATGACGTCTGCAAAATGTAGCTGAAGTCTCTTAAGACAATGTTTATTGATATGTCTTGCCTGACAATTTGGACATCCGCTTATGGATGAATCCGACACCCCATCAGGATATTTTCAGATAATGTCCTGTTAACTGCTGTTGATTTTGGAAGAGAGAAGTGAAGTCTCCTTCTGATCTTCACCCTCCCTATGTTGTCCCCAAACATCTAGAGCTACTGCTGTAGATGCCTAGGTGGCCTAGGCTGCTCAGGCCTTCTCCATGTTTTGGTCTCATATTATGTTTGCAAATCTTTTCTTGACTTGTTTGTTCTATGTCTGCTGGTTTTATTGCGACTTACTGGATGCATCTTACTCAGTCAATGTTTTTTGTGTTATTCTTTGTTGGGACAGCATGGTTTATTTGTCATATTGCCCTTCATACAATTGCTTCATGTTCAGATTACACCAACATGTCTCTACGACTATACACTTGCAATGTTAAAGGTTTACATTCATTCAATCGATAGATAGATCAAGGTCAATAGCTCTTAGGGAATTCCGTCAGTCCAAAGCTGATATCCTTATCCAGGAAACACATTTCAAAAAGGGAAGCTCATTTAACTTTGCCCTCAGATATTTTCCTATAGCATACTCCGCTCTAGACAGCACATGTAAAGCAGGTGTTGCTGTTCTCATCAAAAAAGGCTGTCCCATCCGAGTGGTATCTTCGGTACTAGACACACACAAGGCAGATTTATACTACTGCAATGTCAATATGGTGATGTCTATATTACAATCATTAATGTGTATGCTCCAACCGCTAATCAATTGGTGTTCTTTAAGGATACTAGGACATAAGCTGTTTGATATTTGGAGAATATTGGAGAGAAATTTTGAAAAAAAACAGGTTTTTTCTTTGTTTCTGTTATAAACGTTTGCAAATAAATAATTGTTCTTCATAAATTTAGGCCAAGATGTATTCTACTACATGTCTTTGGTGAAAATAACCCAAATTAGGATGTATTTTTTAGTTTGTAGGAAAGTTATAGAGTTCACAAACTATGGTATAGATCTGAATATTGATCAATCCTGAATTACTGACAATCCAATCTAATTTCTTGAGGTCCAAGAATGTCAGAACAGTACAGATATCCCCCAAATGACCCCCTTTTTGCAAAGTAGACAGTCCAACGTACTTCATAAGAGGCATGGCGAGTTTTTTGAAGTTGTATTTTTTTGTCATAATTTTTCAGAAAATAAAAAAAAAATATTTTTACAATT